TTTTTTTTTTTTTTTTTTTAATATCCTGCCTTTTCCTACAAATGGCTCAAGGCAGCTTACATCATCTCTCCTCCTCCCTCTTCTCCCCACAACAACAACCCTGTGAGGGAGGTTGGGCTGAGAGTCTGTGACTGGCCCAAAGTCACCCAGTTGGCTCCATGGCTGAGCGGGGACTCGAACCCAGATCGTCTGAGTCCCAGTCCCACGCTCTTAACCACGACGCCACACTGGCTCTTTAACTGGAACCTTCTGTTTCCAATTGTTTTAAAAGCAGCCCAGCTGGGAATGCATTAGAAGTGGGGCATCAATAAGATTTCTGAAGAAATGCATACATGCCACAGCAGCAGGGACCACTGGCCAAGTCATTCTGGGGAGGGCTTTGCGCTGGGGAGGGTGCTCTGCAAGAAGGTCCCAAAGTGGAGGCAGTTGTTGTTGTTGTTGTTGTTGTTGTTGTTGTTATTATAGCATTTCTATGCCGCCGCTTGCCGAAACCTCGGGGCGGCTTACAACACGATCAAATACATTGAAATACAATAGTACATAATCAATTACCATTCAATATAAAAATACAAAGGAGACATTGATTTACAAAAATAAAATTAAAATGATCAGTATAAAAGAAAAATATAGGAGGAGAAAGAGAAGGAAGAAGAAGTTGCCCTGGCCAGATCATATGTTTTAAAGTTCAGGTCTCCCATGGGCAAAGTCTTCTCATGGAGTTGGTCCTTTGGCCACACCACTGATCCTCACTGCCAAGGGCTTTAAAAGATCAAAACTGGCCTTTTAAATTGCGACCAAGACCACCCCATGGGGGAAAAGGGGCCACTGAGCATCGGAATCCCAGAGGCTTACAGCCAGGAGGGCCCTTGGGCAGGCCCTCTTCCCTCCCTGTGCATGAATGCTGCTAAAGGGTCTGACCAGCCCCTCTCCAGCAAAGGGGAACCTCCACCTTGCAGGGCAGAGCTGCTTCCGCTCATGAGCCATGCACTGGGTCACCAAACGCTTAGGCCAAACCCGCCTCCTGTTGTAATTCCCCCCATTCGAGAAGAATGAAGCACACTCAGCTGCCTTCTTTTCGAATGTCTCACTCGGTGGGTTAAGTTATTCGCCGTATTCGCATAGCTGCCCTTTCTCCGGGTGGGTCCTTGAACACCGAACAGAAAACAACAGATGTGCTTAGAAAAATGAAACGCAGCTGTGGCAGCATCAGCTCCACAACCGCTGATGTCATTCGTCCCGCTCTGGGCTTCACGCTTCCCTTTTTCTTCCTCCTGCCCAGCTCTGATGGACGCAAACCAGCAATATCTCATCAATGGGGAATGGTCCATCGATCGGCCGGGAGAATATGACGCGGCTGGCACCAAAGTGTATTATGCGCGTATGGGCGAGACGCATGAGAGCTTAGAGGCGGCTGGACCCACCCAGGAGGACCTACTAGTCATGGTGAGATGGGCTGAGAGGGTTCAAGTGAGCAGGAGTGTAGTCCCCAGCTGGGAGCCACAGTGGGTGAGCAGACTGGCCTCCACCTTCAGGGAAGTCCACCCCTGCTCTGTGTGGGAGAGCAAAGCTAGAGGGAAAGGCCGCCTTCCTCCTGCTATGCATCCTGCTTCCTTTGGAGGCATCTGGCTGGAATCAAGAGGATGGATGTTCGGGTTCTTGCCATGCTCTTAAAACTGGCAGGCAAGTGGCTGCTGCAGAGAAACAAGGTCGGGGGGTACCCAAACAGAATTGTTTGGAGGTCTTTGGCCTTAGTTCATGGACACTGTTGGATCTTCTGTGTCAGGTCCTCTTCCAGGAGGACATGCCGAGCATTGAGTACCAGTTTTGGCTTCTGAAGGATCGGTTCCACCAGATCCAGAGTGGCACCAGCTCCCTCCGCCAGCCACAGACCAGAGAGGTTGGGAAAGATTCACCGGAGGATCATCAGACGTTCCCGCCAGCCACGCCTGTGTCACCCTACATCCGGAACATCTGGGATATTGCCAGAAAGGCCCCACAGGTGGAGGCAACCCCAGTGCCTGCAAGGACATCCACCCCCACAGGTATCCTGAGATAACTGTTGCCTTGGTTTTGCAGGGTATGCCTCCATTTCCCTCAAATCTTCACTTTTCATCTTGTTCTGTTTCACTCTTCGAATATTTTGGAGGGGAACGCTTGGAGTGCTGTTGAAAGGAAGGAAGGAAGGAAGGAAGGAAGGAAGGAAGGAAGGAAGGAAGGCAACATCAGGGGGTTGGACTCGAAGGCCTTCATGGCCCTGTTCCATGTTTCTATGCTTCTATGAAAGAAAGAAAGACCTTTGCATTTCCAAATTAAAAGTGGTAAACCTTCAGGCTAAGGAATATGGATCTGAACCCAGCTCCGTCTAACCCATGGATCCTCAAACTATGGCCCGGAGGCTGCATCTGGCTCACCATGCCCATTTGGACCCATCGTGCATGCACCCGTGCCCACACCCACACCCATGCGCGACGGCTGCCACCCACCTTGCCCTGTGCGCAGGGAGACAGCGGTTTGCTTGCCTGGAGAAAACGATCTCCAAGCAAGCAAGCTGCTGCCTCGCGCCCCCGCCCGTGCCTTGCCTCACCACGTGCCCCCCCCCCGCCTCAGCGCACCCCCCCCCACATGCCGCCCATGCCCCCTCGCCAGCCCGTGCGCACTGCTGGCACCACCTTTCCGGACTGCGCTCAGCACCAGCACCTTTCAACTGGCCCCCTGGTGGAAAGGTTTGAGGACCCCTGGTCTAAACCTTCCTAGGAATTCACAGCCGACTCTCTTCATCATTGAGCCCCTTCGCTGCCCAGATCTTTGTGATCAAACAGGCTGGCCTGTCTGATTAAATATTGTCATTGTCGTTGTTGTTATTATTAAATCATAAATATGGCACAATGGGCTGGCCAGATTTTTGGCATTAGAACCTAGGGATGATGTTTTCTGTAAGGATTGGGCAACATGGATGCTATTGGATCTTACCGCTTATATGAGGGTTAAACAGTCCTTACGTAACCCAACAATAGAACCAACCACTCTCATAACCTCAAACTGGTTCGGTGCACCAGTGAGTTGTATAGGGCCTGTAATCAGCAACCTCCAAAGAAGTGAATTGTGCATCGCTGGATAAAAGGGGAAGCGGCAGGTCCCTTCTACTGGATCCATTCAGAGAAACATAGAAACCGAGCGAGGCATAAGAGGCCTCCTGGGCCGTCTAGTCTGATCCATGGCTCTAGTCGGCTCTGCTCACGACATGCCTACCATGTCCAGCCTATCTTTGAACACCCGCACCGATGGGGCCTCAACCACCTCCCATGGAAGCGCATTCCATGCCGTAGGGGTCCTAAGTGTCAGGAAGTACTTCCTGGCATCTAAATGGAACCTTGGTTCCCTGAGCGTGTCCTGCCCTCCTCTGCAGGGGAGAACAGGTCATTCCCCACCTCCGTGTGACACCCCCTCACATACCTGTATGTCGCCAACAGATCCCCCCTGAGTCTCCTCTTCTCCAGGCTGAAGAGACCCAGTTCCCTCAGTCTCGCCTCATCCAATCCTTGCATTCCGGCCACCATCCTTGTGGCCCTATGCTGCACTGATTCCAACCTGGCTACATCCTTCCTGTAATGTGGAGTCCAGAAGTGAACACAATGCTCCAGTTGTGGGCACACCAGAGTCATATAGAGTGGTAGAAATACCCCTCTCACCAAGGGTGGCATTTGCCCTCTTGACCGCTGCATCACACGGCTGGCTCATGTCTAGCCCGAAGTCAACCAGCACCCTGAGATCCCTTTTCTCCAGCCACTTGTCCCCTAACCTGTACTTCTGACCCCCATTCAATGCCCCAAGTACAAGACCTTGCACTTGTCCACCCTGCTTTAAATAAATAAACAAACCCCAGAGGAGCAACATGGGTCCCTGATGAACCAGAAATTCTGGCTTTGGCTACCGTTTAACGCAGTGTTTAATGTTGCGCCTGAGAATCCATCTTGTTCCACTGAACATCTGGAGACATCTTGATTCATTGTGCCTGTTTTTGTCAAGTGATGCTTCGGACGCCAAGTACCCTCCAGGCTCCAGAGTAGTTCTGTTTTCATTGGTTTTTGAAATCCTGTCATTCAAGATGGAATTTCTCGTCCTGGCAAGTGAGAACAAGTCACCTGCTTGCAAACTTAATTAGCATAATCAGGATCTAGCTTTGTGGCAGAAGCCATGAAGAACGCTGTGTGTTTCCGTTCAGTCTTTTGGAGTCCGCTGAAGTTGTTCTGAGCCACCAAAATCATATTTAGCACTAAAGATATTTTTAAGACGGGCCAGACAACATGGCCCCTCTTTCCTCATGGGCAGCCTCGGAAGCAGCTTGATCTGTTGGCTTGTACGTTTATGAGCTGTACTGATATTCTTATTATATTATTTGGTATCTCAATGAAAAATCATTGTTATCTTTGCTCTTATGTGCTATCAAGTACAACACAATTCATATTTTTTTGTTTCCAGGGAAAGTTGCAGCTTGAATCTCAGTCACTTCTCACTCCATACAGGGTGACGTTCTTTGTTGCAGCACCTTGAAGCATCACTTTGCTTGCATGGGAGATAAGGTTAAGGCTTTTATAGTTGCTGCACACAAACGCACACACAGAGTCGCATGTCCTTTCTTGGGGAATGGAATGTATTTTGAATACTTCTGGCCTCTGAGTCATTGACTGTTTTCTGTATTCTGTATTCTTTTTAGGATGTGAACAAATTCAGTCTCTTCAGTTTTGCACAGTTCTTTTGATAACCTGTCTAATACATGTGCTTTGTTCCTTCCAAGTTCTTTGAATATTAGAACTGAAGTTTCTAATATTGCAGGTTCTTCCACATAGGATTCCTCCTAAAAGGATTCTGCCATCCTTCTATATATTTTCTTCTGTATATTGTTTCCATTTTCTCCTTTATTTTGAACTGTGATAGTATCATCACTTCTTGGTCTTTCAACATTCCTAATCTAGGTTTGTTTTTCCTTTTGATGTCTTGGATGTTCTGGAGTGGTCTCCTATTTTCCATTTTTATGTCGTTCTCTTAATTTAATTTAATTATTATTATTATTATTATTATTATTATTATTATTATAACATTTCTATGCTGCCCCTTGCCGAAACCTCGGGGCGGCTTACAACACGATAAAATACAATGAAATACAATAGTACATAATAAATTACCATTAAATATAAAAATACAAAAAATATATTGATTTACAAATACAAAATTAAAATTATCAGTATAAAATAAAAATATAGGAGGAGAAAGAGAAGGAAGAAGAAGTTGCCCAGGCCAGATCATATGTTTTAACAATTGAAATGATGTTTAAATAAAAAGGTCTTTACCTGGCGCCGAAAAACCAGTAACGACGGTGCCAGGCGGACCTCTTTGGGGAGTGAATTCCATAGGTTGGGCGCCACCGCAGAGAAAGCCCTCCTCCGGGTACTTACTCTCCTAATTTCTAATTGATTTTAATTAAAACATTTCTATGCCATCCTTTGCAACAAGCCTCAGGACGGCTTACAAAAGGTAAAAATAGTAATATAAAGTACAATTAAAACATTAAATAATAGCCCAACTTAAGCAACAGTTCATAACTGAAGACGAAAAAGTAAATGCAACTGTGTAAGATGATGATGATTGTAAAAATTATTGATATTAATTATTAAAATGGTGGCTAAATAAAAAGGTGCTGGAAGGAGTAGAGTCGGCACCAGGCGGACATCTCTGGGGAGTATTCCACAGTCTGGGCGCCACCACAGAGAAGGCCCTGCTCTGGGTAGACACCCTCCATACCTCCTTCAAAGAGGGTTCCCGGAGCAAAGAAGGGGGAAAGCAGGGATCCTCCAGTGTGCTGGCGGAAAGGGAGGGAGTGCTGGCAGCCAGCCAGGCTCTTGAAACTCCCTCACCCTATTTCATCCTAACAGGTTTTCTCCTCCTCATCCTGTAGGAAGGTGCAGGAAGTGCGACATGCCGAAGGGGAAATCCCAGCGCATCCGACACTACTGCAGCAGCGACTTCGGTATGCACCTCTCCTCTCCTGGAGTCAGTACGGGGCGGCCCAGAAAAAGGACCCAAAGCCCAGGAAACCCCAGCCCATTCGGAAAAAAATTTCCCCATAAGTTTTGCCTTCAAAGGCTATAGCTGCATAGACAGGAAAATCCGGGAGACACTGTTTGGGTCTTTTGGCAGGGAAAAAGGAAGGAAGTCCAAGCAGGCCTAGGAAAGGCCCACCTCAGAGACATGGAGAACCGTTCACAGTGGTCCACAGTGGTTGGGTTGGCTGAGTCTGTTCAGTAATCGTTTGGAGTGGCTTCTGATTTGATTTAAGCCAACTCTTTATTCAGATTCAGAAGGGCTGGAATGACTCACTATCCCTCAGCTACAGGCCACACTTGTATATAGAATACTACAGTAGTTCCCCAAAAATAAGACCTTACAGGAAAAGCAGCCCTAGCATGATTTTTCCGGATGCTCAGAATATAAGCCCTACGCCAAAAATGAGCCCCAGTTCAGATCGTCAGCCAGATGGGCGCATTTAGTACGTTCGTTGCAACACACGGTGGACGTCTTGAATTATCAAATAATGTTACTATCTCTGTCATGGATCACTGCCTTGTCATGGGTAAGGAGCTTGCGTAGCTCAGTGAAGCTGTGAGCTCTGCCGTGCAGGGCCACCCAAGACGGACAGGTCATAGCAGAGAGCTCTGACAAAGGGTGATCCACGGGAGAAGGAAATGGCAACCCACTCCAGTACCCCTGCCATGAAAACCCCATGGACAGTACCAAAGGGCAAAACGATACGATGCCGGAAGATGAGCCCCTCAGGTCGGAAGGTGTCCAGTGTGCTACTGGGAAAGAGCAGAGGGCTAGTACTAGTAGCGCCAGAAAGAGTGAAGCGACTGGGTTAAAGCCGAAAGGACATGCAGTTGCGGATGCATCTGGTGGTGAAAGGAGGGTCTGAGGCTGTAAAGACCTATATTCCATAGGCACCTGGAATGTAAGATCCAGGAATCAAGGCAAGCTGGATGTGCTCAAACAAGAGATGACAAGACTGAACATCAACATCTTAGGAATCAGTGAGCTAAAATGGACAGGAATGGGGGAATTTAATTCGGATGACCATCAGGTATACTACTGCGGGCAAGAATCCCTCAGAAGAAATGGAGTAGCCTTCGTAGTCTGTAAAAGAGTAGGAAAAGCAGTACTGGGATACAATCTCCAAAATGACAGAATGATCTCAGTTTGAATCCAAGGCAAACCATTCAACATCACAGTAGTCCAAGTCTATGCCCCAACCACTGGTGCTGAAGAGGCTGAAGTTGACCGGTTCTATGAAGGCCTACAACACCTCCTGGAATTAACACCAAAAAATGATGTCCTTATCTAGACAGCATACTAAAAATCACAGACATCACCCTGCTGACAAAAGTGCGTATAGTCAAGGCCGTGGTTTTCCCAGTTGCAATGTATGGCTGTGAAAGTTGGACGATAAGGATGGCTGAGCGTCAAGAACTGAGGCCATTGAATTGTGGTACTGGAGGAAACCCCTGCGAGTCCCTTGGACCGCAAGGTGATCAAACCGGTCAGTCCTAGAGGAGATCAACCCTGACTGCTCTTTAGAAGGCCAGATACTGAAGATGAAGCTCAAATACTTTGGCCACCTAATGAGAAGGAAGGACTCCCTGGAGAAGAGCCTAATGCTGGGAACAATGGAAGGAAAAAGAAGGAGGGGACGGCAGAGGATGAGGTGGCTGGATGGGGTCACTGAAGCAGTTCGTGTGAGCTTAAGTGGACTCTGGGGGATGGTGGAGGACAGGAAGGCCTGGAGGAGTGTTGTCCATGGAGTTGTGATGGGTCGGACACGACTTCGCGACTAACAACAACAGTGTTAATATAGAATTAAACATAAATAATATTATTGGCATTAATTCTTTAAAAAATGATAATACAAATAATAATAAGCATGTGTAAATACCCAAGCGGGCACCTTTGGATGAGAGGTAAATGCCTAAGTAAACAGATGAACTCAAGAAACTTCTTGTTGAATGACTGACCAGAGGAGAGAATCGACGCACGGAGAACGTGTGCACTTACTTATTTATTTATTCCCTGCCCTAGACGCAAAAGTGTCTCAGTGGCTTAGTAAAATCCAAGCAAACAATCTGACAGATGAACCATAATTAAATAAATAGTTAAATATGCGCATATAACCCGTAACATTTCACAAATGGGGAAAAAACAAAACAAAAGCAAAATCAAGAATGGAAGCAAAATCAAAAACCAAAAAGTAACTGTATTTAAAACCTGATTAAAATTCCTAACATTTAAAATAATGCTCAAATAAAAGAGTATAAAGTTGATGCCAGGTGAACCTCTCTGGGAAAGGCCCTCCTCTGGGTGGAGACCGTCTTTACCTCCTTCAGGAGGGTTCCTGGAGCAGGGTCTCTCCTGCTGATCTTAAGGGGCATGAGGGCATATAGGGAAGGAGGCAGTTCATCAGGTATCCTGGTCCCAAGCCGTTTAGGGATTTATAGATTAGCACCAGCACCTTAGATTGGGCCCAAACTTCAATCAGGAGCCAGTGAAGCTGGTAGAGGACTGGCGTTATCTGAGAATAACAATATGGCTGCTCTGTTTTGGACCAATTGAAGTTTCTGAACTTGATAATGAACTTGAAACGGGTATGTTTCATAATTTGATACATTGTGTGTTGTGATGGACGAGCTTCAAGCACTCGCGCATTGCCAATCCTGCCTCGTAAGGCTTCAGTTAACACCTGATTTAACAGTAGCTTTTAAAGGTAATCCTATTTTGACCCCCTCCCGCCTGACGAGATGGGTGCAAAAGAAAGAGCAATTCCATTGAGGACAAGAAAGGGATCATGGAGGTCTCTTGTGGCAGGAATCTCATAGCTCTTGGAAGGAAAAATACGACATCGCCTGAAAATAAGCCCTGATGCATCTTTTGGAGCATAAATTAATCTAAGACCCAGTCTTCGATTAGGTCTTAACAGCCTACTCTTCGCAGCCTTCTCCAACCTGGCTCCCATTGGACGTGCCCAGACTCCCACACCCCTTGCTCCATTTGCCAGATGTGTTTGTGCACAACATCAGAAGAGCAGCGATTGGAGGAGGCTTGTGTGGAGTAGAGCAAGGGACGGTGGGGTGGGCAAAGAAGCAAGCAAACAGTGGCCCCCCAGTGTACATGGGTCAGAGATGCGATGGTTGCTTCCTGCGAAAACTGGGAAGACTAGTGAGGGGAACGTGGAACTTCTGGAATTCTCCACCCATGGAGAAACCTCTAGAATTCTCCACCCATGGAGCGCCTTCTGGAATTCTCCACCTTTTCTGACCCTCTTGCTGTTCCCACTGTCTTCCTCCCTGCAGTTTTCCGGGCCCAGATCCTTTCGAAGCGCCACATCGGCCAGGAGACCCGCTACGACGTGCAGGTCAGACACACGTACCGCAACCGCTTCCCCATCGTCCACCGTGAGTATGTCTGGGTCCCCAACACCTGTGACTGCCCCACGCTGTCCGAGCAGCATGAGTACGTCCTCATGGCCCGGCGCCATGTCAACTTCGAGAACACCCTCAACCGCATCCTGCTGCCTCGGGGGAGCTACGCCCGGCCCTGGTCGCCCCGGGAAGACCTCCAGCTCCGTGAGGTGTCCAAGCACTGTGGGACATGGTGAGCGGCTCGGCCATGGGGGTGAGGCCTGCTGTGCCGAAGATGGAAGAGGCAGCGGGTGGCACTGGGGGAGGCGGATGTTCCAGCTAACCCTAACCCTGGACCCCGACCCAGAGCAGAAATCTGGTCCCCTCGGCCTCCACATGCAGCACAGCTGCTTCAGACCATACATTCCCACCACTGGAGACATCCCAGACATCTGTCCAACATACACACAAAGAGGAACTCTCTCACACACCTGAGTCGTCAGGTGGCAAGACACACCATCTTGGTCCGTTCCAGATCTCACACCCCCATCCCAGCTGCTGTTGGCTAGTTCCTCTGTCCCACACCAATGGAGGGGATCCTCTTCGTCCACCTGGCTGAGTCGCACTGGGGGAAATAAATCCACGTTCTCACCACCTGTCAGTGCTTTCACAAGGCTCACGTCCAGGATGGATTTCTTAGTGCCGGGGTCCATAGACTCTTTTCCACTCCGTGTCGGAGGGAAGGGATGCAAAGTTTGATTGAACCCTCAATTTTCTCCTAAGGCTCCAAGCGAGGAGCTGGAGGGACTTGGAGGTTGTCCAAGGGAGAGGCTCTTGCAAGGATGTAGAGGTTGCGTCCTTGAGCGGTCCTGTGGGCACCGACACATACAGAACCTGTGTCTCAGAAAGGAATTGCGGAGGACTGTCGGGGCAAGAATCTTACGGCCTTTGTAAGAAAAAATAGGACATCCCCTGAAAACAAGCCCTAGTGTGTCTTTTGGAGCAAAAATTATTCTAAGACCCAGTCTTATTTTTGGGGAAACATGGGAGCTCATAAGCTCGGGAAATTGTCCTCATCACCCATGTTGCTAGTCTCTGAGGTGCCAGCTGGTCTCCTTGGTCTCGCCACCCTAACAGACTTTTTAAAACTCTTCGGGGTTGCTGGAATAACTCAGATCTGAATCAGGGAATTCCAGCAGTCTACAAGCATCCACCAGGACTTCATCAGATGGGTTGGGGAGTCAAAGAAGACCCTCAAAAGAATGTATTGAAACAGGAGGCCCAACTTTGGGAAAAGAGGAGGGATCTGGAAGCGATGACGCTTTGTCCCAGTAGGGGAATCAGCCAAGGACCACACGGTTCCCTGGAACTGGGGCTGATGGTCGCCAGCAAGGCAGCCTTCCAGAATAGTAAGCAAAGATCAACGTTTCCATGGCTTCAAGCAGGTTCCTCCCAAGAACTTGTAGGCTCTACTTAGCTATTGAAGAGCAAGTTAGTGGCGTGATATTTCTCGGCCCTCATAGGAACTGCCTATTTAATGGGGCAAGAAAAAATGACGAACCCTGAAATTATGAAAACTTCCCATTTTAGCAGTGGAAAACTGATGGGAAGGTCAAAGCTCCATCCAGTATTTCCGATATTTCATGATGGAAAATGGGAAGTGCATGCCCAAGGGCAGGACCTTCTGTGCTATTTTTCCCCGATGCCGACAGGTTAGGTCCAGTTTCAACAGCATCGGGATGAAAGTTGGAGCAGTATATTCAAAAGGTGGCAAGGCAAGGTTGCCTACGCTGCTGAGGTGTTACCAGGATGCAGTATGACATTCAGACAAACCTTCACTACATAGAAACAGAGCAAGGCAGAAGGGGTCTCCTGGGACATCTAGCCTGACCCCAACTCCAGCCAGCCCCTCTTAGAGAAACATAGAAACTGAAAGAGTCAGAAAGGGTCTCCTGGGCCATCTAGTCTGACCCTGGCTCTAGCCAGCTTCACTTACAACATGCCTACCATGTGAATGTCCAGCCTCTCCTTGAACTCGCTCACCACTGGGGCCTCAACCACCTCCCATGGAAGTCCATTCTGTACCCTCGGGGCCCCAACTGTCAGGAAGTACTTCCTGGCATCCAAATTGAACCTTGGTTCCTTGAGCTTGGCTCTGTTGGAGCCTAGTCCTCTCGTGATGAGGGGAAAGCAAGAAGGTAAACACAAGTCCCCAACCAATAAGCAGAATGACATCTTGCACATGGTATTGCCCTGAATGACAGGTTGATAGAAGGAATTCAAGTGTCTTCCACACAATCGCCATTCATGAGCAGTGAATTTCTCTGGCTCCAAACGTTAGCCAAGCTCCCATGAGTGTGAAGTTTCCACCAACACGCAGATCCAAATGGCTAGCTGAGCGAAGGGCCTTAGCCATGTTCCTTTCTGTTTGTTCACATTCATGCGTTTGTATTATTAATACTGTTTCTATTATTATAATCAATAAATACGTGCAGTCGTATTACTATTTATATGATGATATCCTGTTATTTCTTACGGAAGATAGACGTTGAGTGAGGTTGGATGGTGGGTTGTGTGAATGCAGAGATGACCACTCAAAGATCAACAATCACAGGTAAGCAACTTGCCTTTCTCCTCGGTGCTCTCTGTGCATCACAGATATGGGCGATTTGCAAGTTTAAATGTTCCTGGACTGTGTTGTTAGTGAAGAATAGAGGAGGGACCCACCCTTCCGAAAGCACAGTGCAGTCTCACCTGCGTGTCAAGTTTGTAGGGCCTGAGAAAGGATGACAGGATTGATCGGGTCGCTGCCTCTCCCACACTAGAGACATTCAGAAAGAAACTGGGCAGCCAGCTGAAGTGAGATGGTGTAACTTGGTGTCCTGCAACAGCAGGGCTTGGACCCGATGGCCTTCATAGCCCTTCCAACTCACTATTCCATGGTTCTATCATCCAGGGCAGTGATGGCGAACCTTTTAGAGACCGAGTGCCCAAACTGCAACCCAAAACCCACTTACTTATCACAAAGGGCCAACGCTGCAATCAAACCTGAATACTGAGGAACAACTCATACATTAACATCTTTTGTCTTCAAAGAAAAACAAAACAACAGAGCTTTCAATGATACAAAAAGCTTTTTACTGCAAGGTAAAAGTTTGCATTCGGCGTGCTTTTGCACAATTAACGTGATCTTTGCTGTTGTATGCATGCTGATAATTTGTCAGAACTCGGCTCACACGTCGTTTCAATTTTCCATAAGAAAACTCAAAGCTAAAATCTTGTGTTAATAAAAATGAATGTATTAAAACTCACAGCCAGTCAAAGTAAATATATATATATATATATATCCTTGGCAGTGCACTGACCGGCCATGCGAAAGCTTGGACGATTCACAGATAATGAGTCGCGGCTTGTGACGTCATTGCCTGGCACAGCTACTCTTTTCCGAGCATGCGCATGGCCCCTGTGCGCACGGTTATCTGATGCTCGGCCGCTGGGGCGATGCTGGGGCGACTTGGCTTGTGTGCCAACCGAGAAGGCTCTGCGTGCTGTTGTAACCCCCCTCTTCATCGAACGTGCAGCCGGGGCATGGCTCGTCACGGGTAAAAAGCATGATCAGGGCGTCCTGTTCGCGTGAGAACAAGAATCCCAACGAATGCGCACGCTACGCAAGGCTGACAACAAAGCGGGCTACGCTCCAGCATAACCGCAGACGTTACGCCCTTGTACCCTCGCTTGCTTTAGCATGAAAAATGTGCAACTGGGGCTCAGTGGGTTTCCCCTGTTGTTCGCCGTTATTCAAGCACCTGCATAGTTGTAAAGGAGTATAAAAATGCTGCTTTCCTTCTGCTCGAGACCTCACTCTGCTCAAACGAGTGTGGTCCCTGCAGGTAATAAACGCCTCTCGGAAATTCCAACTGGTCTCTGGTCTCATCCGTAAAACCGCGGGACACAACCCGTGCCTGCTACAGCATGTGTGCCATAGGTTTGCCACCATTGATCTAGGGGGTTGGACCTGATGGCCTTCATGGCCCCTTTCAGTTCTTCTATCATTCTATGATATAGCGGGTTGGACTCGATGGCCTTCATGTTTCTCTGAGCGGAGCTGGCTGGAGCCGTGGTCAGACTAGAAGACCCAGGAGACCCCTTCTGCCTCACTCTGTTTCTATGTTTCTAATACAATACACACCTAGACGCAGCCGAAACATTATCATTTCCTCTGACCAGTTTCCAAGTTGCATGCATAGGCATAGCTTTCTGCAGAAGTTTGCCACAGCTGGACTTTCTTAAGCTCTCGGGCCTGAACAAGGTCATCGGCAGCCTCTCTCTCAGACCCATGTGTCAAATCTCCGAATGGACACGGTTGCATGAATGGGGAGGGGGCAGGGGAGCTTGCTGTTGACTTCCTGGCAGAGGTCAAGATAGGGGTCCAAGATCACCATATTTGGGATGACCCCATTCCCGTATCTCTGTGCCAGGAGGTAAATCCGGCCATTCGCTGTGCAGCATCCCTTAAAGAACTTGCCAGTCAAGCAGTCCTCTTCCACGGGTGTCCACTCGCTTGTGTCCATGTCAAAGCGAAAGGTTCCCCCTCCCACAGTATAGATGGCCCCATTCAGCGTTGTGACACAGAGGTCATACCTGGAGGCAAGAAGAGAAAGAGGAACATGGTTCATCCTGGACATCACCGTCCTTTAAATATTCTGGAAAAATTTCATGGAAAGCTGGTGACTTTCAGACTGGAAACCAGCCGAAGTGTTTATGCTGCCTGCAAGGAGATCTGAAGGATGCAATCCTGGTTGTTTGATTCACGCTCTGGAAGCTACTCAGAGACTTTTTTAGTAATGGACAGCAGACAAAAACCTTCAATAAATACAGACATTTTGACAGGGAAAAACCTTGACATCTCAGCATGCCCCAGACCAAAGGGCTGTGGTGGTCCATGCTGTGAGGTGCAGGATCCGTTTTTCTAGTAAACACGCACCCCTCCGCCCCCGTCCTTTTAAAGACTAGCTGGTCAAGAAATGGCTCACGAGTAATTTGCTTGTATGATGGCCCTGAGAAAACCTTAGAAGACTAAAACTATGTTGTGCTCAATAGAATATGTTCAGTATATCTTTAAGCATTCCTTCCCCTCCCCTCCCCAGAAGGAATCCCAAAAGCTATGAGAACCCTCACCTAGGAAGCGGGGAGAAAGAAACGACTTCCCAAATACCGGTCTCCACATCCAGCCGTTGCACCGCCTGACACACGTCCCCATTTTCATCCAGCCCGCAGATCACATAGATGTGTCTTCCAATGCCAACAGCCCCAGCCCGTTCGACAGGATGCACCAGGGGCTTGGCATTCTCCCATGCGGAATCTGTTGGTGCCAAGTATTCCACGTCCGGTGTGATGCCTTCCTCGGTGCTCCCCCCCATCACGTACAGGTGGAAGCCGAGCCCCACGGCGCAGTGGTTGTTCCGAGCCTTCTTCATGGCCGGGCCCTCCAGCCAGGTGTCCTCCCAGCTGTTGTAGATCAAGACCCAGTTCACACTGGACCAGAAAAACTCTTCCCGGAAGTATCCACCGGTCACAAAGAGGAAGTTGCCTGTGGAAAGGAGACATTGGGCCAACAGTGATGCAGCAGCCAAAAGGGCAAATGCAATATTGGGATGCATTAACAGAAGCATGACTTCCAAATCACAAGGAGTAGTTCCTCTGTACTCCTCGCTAGCCAGAGGAGTGACTAGTCTAGGAGGAGTGACTCCTCGCTAGTCAGAGGACTCCTCACCTGGAATCCTGTGTCCAGTTCTGGGCACCAAGATTGAAGAAAGAGGCAGGTAAATTAGGAAGGGTCCAGTGGAGGGCAACAAAAATGATCCAACATTTGGAAACACTGCCCTGTGAGGAGGGACTGAGGGAACTGGGCAAGTTCAGCCTTGAGAAGAGAAGGTTGAGGGGGACATGGTATCCCTCTAGAAGTACCTCAAAGGCTGTCACAAAGAGGAAGGCCAAGATCTCTTCTTGCTGATGCCACAGTGAAGAACACAGAATAATCGATTCAAGTTGTGACAACTCAGATTCAGGCTGGACACCAGGAAAAGCTTCCTCACTGTCAGAGCAATGGGACCGAGGGACCAGCTGCCTGGAGAGGTGGTGGGCTCTCCACACTGGGGACATTCCAGGAGAAACTGGGCAGCCATCTGAGTGGGATGGTGTAATGTGGTGTCCCACAACAGCAGGGTTTATACCCAATGGCCTTCCAACTCCACCATTCCATGATTCTGTGATCTAGCGGGTTGGACCCGATGGCCTTCCTGGCCCCTTCCAACTCTACTATTCCATGATTCTATGCTTCTATGTGGCCCTCCTTGGCCCTCGGTTGCCCCAGGCTGCCCTCCTCCTATGGCGGAGGGGAGAGTTACCTGCAGCAGCCACAGCATACTGCGTGAAGTTTCTGCGCCTGAGTGGAGAGCAGGCGTGCCATGTGCTTGTCCTGGGGTGATACTGGAAGAGCTGCTGCTGCTCCGTGTCATGCTTCCCGGCCAACACGTAGAGGTTGTCATAGCTCCGTCCAGTGCAGGGTGACCGTGTCGCGCCAGTCCAGCTGAGGGGTGGGCAGCTCTCCAATGTCTTCACGAGGCGGACTGAGACATCCCGTGTGGGGCGCTTGCTGCGTTCCACCAGGCGGTCAAGGAAGGAGAGGCTCAAGAAGGGCACCCTCACCAGGCCCACCAGCTCCAGGAAGTCTTGTTCCCTTTCCTCTGGCTCTACAGTCACCCAGCGCAGGACAGCGTCAAAGACAACATCCTCTTGAGGGACAAATAGCTCATCACTCTGCAGAAGCCCCAAAAGCGTCTCCTTGGGGAGCTCCTCAAACTCCTCCTGGGCTACCACATCCGCCCAGTGGGTGACAGCGACGGAGACCGCGGCAGAAAGGAGCGCCTTGCAGGCAAATTGCTCAGCGTAGGCCATGAATGCGAGGCAGTTGGAGACATGCAGCTCTCTCTCCAGGAACTTCTCACAGCGCTGCTTGGCTCCATCGAAGAGGAGGAAGTCAGCCGTCTCCAGGAGAGAGGTGACGTTGTGGCGTGTTATGTGGATGGTGCCGGTCCGGATGAAGTCCAGGAGGGCCTGGAACGGCTCTGTCTCAACCCCTCGGATCTGGATATGGCGCTGGGCACTCTCCCTGGCGCCCCCGAAGAACATGGCCTCGAAGTACTGGCTGTGGCAGGCCAGGGCCCACCTCTTGACAGGGAAAAGCTTTTCTCCAACCTGCAGGACTGTGTCCACTTCAGTGTCTTCTCGGAATGCTTTTTTCTCGCAGGGATCCATGCTCAGAGCTCAGATAAGCTTCTCTCGGCCTCCCCAGGAACTGGCAATCGGCCCACATGGATGGCAGGAACACGGACCGATATAGACATGAGTCTGTCCCTAAAAATAGAGCACCTCCTCAGCCTGTCTCACTTGCCAGAGGGCAGAGATGTCAACGGCAGACGCTTCCTTCTGCAACGTCCTTATCGCAAGATGTCTCTCTCTCTTTCTCTCTCTCTCTCTGTAAAGGGATGGAAGGCCCAACCTGGATCAAGAATGGTGCAATCTAACATCTCCATGAAATCCTGGGAGAGGTCATCGGAGGTTTGGGCTGCGGAGTCCTCAGCATGCTGAGGACACCCAGCTCTGCCTTTTACATCAAATCCAGGTGAGGTGGTGGACCCTGAACCGGTGCCTGGCTGAGGTGATGGGCTGGATGAGGGCCAATAAAGTGAAATTCAATCCAGATAAGACGGAGGTCCTTTTGGTGGGTGGTTCGGGTTTCCAGGTGATTTTGACCTTGTCTTGGACAGGGTAGCACTCCCCCTAAAGGACAGGATACACAGCTTGGGGGTGCTCCTTGACCCAGAGCTGTCCTGGGAGGCCAATGTGGCAATGGTGGCGAAGAGTGCCTTCCTCCAGCTTCGGCTGGTCCATCAGCTGTGTCCTCACCTGGAAGAGCACTGCCTGGCAATGGAGACACACACTCTGGGAACAACTTCCCAGCTGGACAACTGTGGGACTGCCCTTGAAGATGGTTCGGATGCTTCAACTGGTCCAGAATTGAGCTGCCGGGTTGTTCAGAGGGACCAACAGTCACGAACATAGAACGCTGTTCCTTTTCCATCTACATTGGCTTCCAGTTGAAGTCTGGGCCCAATTTAAGGTGCTGGTGATGATCTAGAAAACCCTAAATGGCTTAGGGCCTGGTTACCTGAAGGAGCATCTCCTTCCGTATATGCCTGCCCGCCCCTTAAGATTTGGGCAGGGGGTCTTCTCTGGGCGCAGGATGGGGATTCCTGTAACTACATTATCTCACAATATATATTTTAAATTATGGATTTCAGAGAGAATACACTATCCCATCTCTATGACATTCAAAGAGAAATGAATGTCCAACTCCACTATTCCATGATTCTAAGTTCAAATAAATTTGATGGATTTTCCAAATGGGATATTAAAATGAAATCCCATGCTGTCCCCAGTTAAGTCTGTCTGAAGCTCTTCTTTGTCTTTTACATTCCAAAACATCACAGCCACATTCAAAGAAAGCAAGTGTTCAAGCATAGATTTTATTATTAATGAACTCACAAGTCCTTTCCACCAGAATGGAAAAAAATAAAGAAAAATTCACCGCCAGGCATGGAAAGTTCTGCACTAGCTTCATCAACATTCCTGACAATTTGTGCAGCGTACAAAAGAAGAAACCCAGACAGCAGCATGTGCTCCCAAATCCACACCCTCTGGAAAGGAATGTAGATTCCGTCAACAGAAAAAAAATGAAGCCTGGAGGAGCTGCCTCTAAGGAGAAAGGAACAAAAATTTCTCGGATCTCCTCCTGTGTTAGTCTTTACTGAAACTTCCTGGATTAATTCATGGATCTAAACTTGGGCTGGAGTTTTCTGCAATGGGGGAATTTTTTGAAATGGATTCTGGACATCTGGCTGCAAGGTTTTCCCATCGCAATATGCAGCATCTAACCCAAAGTAAAAAAACGAGAAATTCCAATGTTTTCCTCCCATATAAAACAAGTGTAAAAAATACTGAACAGAGATCTTCTTGGGTGATGCCCTTTTCAGTCCCAAGATTTCCACTGCTGCCCCTATTAGAGGCTAGCCATCTTGCTGCTGAATGAAGGGGTTTGGGATGGCCTCCATCCCATCCTGGGGGCAAATGAGGACCACCGAGGTCCCCCGGCAGACTACCAGCCCCAGCTGCCGGGTGTCCTCGGTGAGCTTGTACTGGTCATCTGGATCTGGAGAAGAAAAAAACAGAAAGAAAGAGCTGAGCCTGTTGACAAGCCTAATATGAAGCTGGAAAGAACCAAAAGGGCCAAGGAATAGGACAGGATAAAAATAGCCCAAATAAATAAATTAATACAGCCATCTCCTGCCAGCATGGTGCATGATTCTTCCGATTTCTTTATGCATTCAAAGGCTAAAAGGGCTGAAGCGTCATGTCCCTTAACAGACAGAGAACTGTCATCATCAGCTCATAGGAGAATAGCTAAAGGGGCCATTGAAGATCAGGGACATAAGATTTTTCGGTATTTATTGTATTTATCGGGGTATTTCCGACCAATCTGTTACAGTTCGTCTCTGGAAGGCTTACAATGTAAAACACTGAATAGATACAGCATGGTAACACACAACTGAGGATAAAAACGTAAGTAAAATGTTTAAACTTTAAAAGCTGTGACTGTTGGCCAGTTTAGGGCAAAGAAGGGGAGGCAGAAGGGGCCTCCCGGGCCATCTAGTCTGACCCCTGCTCCAGCCGGCTCCACTCAGAGAAACAAAGAAACCGAGCAAGGAAGAAGGGGCCTGCTGAGCCATCTAGTCTGACCCAGCTCTAGCCAGTTCTAACCCAGGGAAGGTATCAGCCAGTCGAGTCCAGCTTCCAGCTTCAGATGCCCCCTATCCTCATTCCACAGGCTCCCGGTGCATCATGGAATCATAATACGCACCTCTCATATATTCAATGGTACCATCCAGCACCAAATTCAGTAACGGGTCAAATCCTTTCAAGACACCGCTTGCTGTTTAAAAAAGAAAAAAAAAAAATCAGGTGCTCTCAGTAATCGAAGGCTGAATGTAAGATCCTGGGATTAAATTAAACTTTACACATTCAACTGGTGATTACCAAATTATTTAATTGAGCAGGGCAGACAGGACAATGCTGGGAGAGAAACTAAGGAATTAAATTGCCGTCATACCACCCCCGCCCCAGCTCCCAATTTCACCTGGCAAAGAACTCTGCAGTTTTAATTTACTAATCCCTGCTCAGAGATCTTTAAAGACAAACTTACATCATTCCAGATATTTAACAGCACTTTGTGAAATGGACCAAATGAATTTTGCTGTCCCCTTAGCAGTATTTCAGTTTTTATTTGCGAGGAACGCCTTCCTTCAGCTTCGGCTGATTAATCAGCTGCGCCCCTACCTGGAATACGACTGCCTGGCGACGGTGACACACGCGCTGGTGACTTCCCGCCTAGACTTCTGTAACGCGCTTTATGTGGGGCTTCCCCTGAAGACAGTCCGAACACTTCAATTGGTGCAAAATAGAGCTGCCAGGTTGCTGACGGGGACGGGGCGTTATGCTCACATGACTCCAGTCCTCCGTCAGCTTCACTGGCTTCCCATTGAAGCCCGGGCCCAATTCAAGGTGTTGATTATGACCTACAAAGCCCTAAACGGCTTGGGTCCTGGCTACCTGAACGAGCGCTTACGTCCGTATATGCCCGACCGCCCTTTGAGATCTGCGGGAGAGTCCCTTCTCCGGGAACCCTCCATGAAAGAAATTAGGAGAGTAAGTACCTGGAGGAGGGCTTTCTCTGCGGTGGCGCCCAACCTATGGAATTCACTCCCCAAAGAGGTCCGCCTGGCACCGTCGTTACTGGTTTTTTGGCGCCAGGTCAAGACCTTTTTATTTAAACATCATTTCAATTGTTAAAACATATGATCTGGCCTGGGCAACTTCTTCTTCCTTCTCTTTCTCCTCCTATATTTTTATTTTATACTGATAATTTTAATTTTGTATTTGTAAATCAATGTATTTTTTGTATTGTTATATTGAATGGTAATTTATGATGTACTATTGTATTTCAATGTATTTTATCATGTTGTAAGCCGCCCCGAGGTTTCGGCAAGGGGCGGCATAGAAATGTTATAATAATAATAATAATAATAATAATAATAATAATAATAATAATAAAACAAGCAACTTTGAAGACTTTCTATACGTTTAGCAAAAAAGGGTATCATGCCCCCTCCCAGCCTTCTCTTCTGAGGGCTGATCCTGCCCAGTTCCGTCAGTCCCTCCTCACAGGGCAGTGTTTCCAAACCCTGCATCATTGGCCCTCTGCTAGACCCTTTCTGATTAACCTGCATCTTTCTTCAATCTTGGTGCCCAGAACTGGATACGGTATTCCAGGTGAGGTCTGACTAGTGAGTACAGAGGAACTATACTTCTCGTGATTTGCAAGTCATACTTCTGCTAAGACATCCCACAAGTGTTTGCACTTTTTGCTGCTGCGTCGCATTGTTGGCTCGTGTTTAGCCGATTGTCCACAATGACTCCACGTTCTTTTTCAGTTCTGTTGAGCCACGTATTCCCCATCTTGTATCAATGCCTTTGGTCTCTTTTTCCTCGGTGGAGGACTTGGCACTTGTGCCTATTGAATCTCATTCTGTTGCTTTCAGCCCAGTGTTCAAGTTGATCAGCATCACCCTGGATCTTCATTCTGTCTTCCAGGGTGTTTGCTATCCCACACAGTTCTGTATCATCTGCAAATGTGATTCTCTTTCACTTCCTCATCTCAGTCATTAATGAAGATGTTGAAGAGCACCGGGCCCAGGACTGAACCCTGTGGCACCCCACGAGTTACCTCCATCCAATTTGAGAAGGTGCCACTGATGAGTCCTCTAGATGTCTGATTCAGCACCCAATGTTGGGTCCACCTAAGAGGTTTTCCATCTAGTCCAGCCTTTGCTCATTTGCTTATCAGAATGTCGTATGGCACTAGGGTGAAAGCTTTGCTGAAGTCTAGGTGGATTATGACTGTGTGCCTTATTCATGGGGGAGATTGTGAACACGTGAACTTGGTTACCACCATGGCACCAACAGGAGAGTAAAACAGTAAAAGAAGACTCCAGGAAACAGGAACTCCGGACATGGCTTACCTTCCCGGCCTCCCTGAAACTTCACACGGATGGTCTTGTCGATGTATTTCGACAGGTCCAAGATGCTCTCTTTCTTTTTTTTCTCCTTGTCCTAAATCAGAGCAGAAAAACAAGGAGCTCATATCAAGTCTCACAGTAAGTGGAGAGAAGGAAAGGGTGCTGAAGAGCCATAGGTTAGTGATACAGTCCTTGCTTTGCCTGGTGGCATAACCAGGTGGGAGAGAAACCATGCCTGAACCCTTGGCTTCTGCTGGCTGGTTGACTGGATAGACCCAGGGTTGGACTTAGTACAGGGAAATTCCGATGTGATCTAAGCATTTATTTGATTTATTTATTAGGATATTCCCCCCCCCCCCCGCCCTCCATCCATTACGGTTTGTCACTGGATGGCTTAGGACCTGGTTACCGTTGCATGCAAAGATGGGCATGATAAAGGAGAAAAATGAGGGGACCTAACAGAGGCAGAGGAGATTAAGAAGAGGTGGCAAGATTACACAGAGGTACTACACAAGAAAGAGCTTAATGTCCTGATAACCACGATGGGGTGGTCACTGACCTCGAGCCAGACATCCTGGAATGTGAAGTCAAATGGGCCTTAGGAAGTCTGAACAACAACAAAGCCAGTGGAGGTAACAGTATTCCAGCTGAGCTATTCAAAATCCTAAAAGACGATGCAGTAAAAGTGCTACACTCAATATGCCAGCAAATTTGGAAAACTCCGCAGTGGCCACAGGATTGGAAAGGGTCAGTTTACATTCCAGTTCCAAAAAAGGGCAATGCCAAAGATTGTTTGAACTACCTCACCACTGCACTCATTTCACATGCTAGCAAAGTGATGCTCCAAATCCTACAAGCTAGGCTCCAGCAGTATTTGGACTGAGAACTACCAGAAGTACAGGCAGGATTTCAAAGAGGCAGAGGAACTAGAGATCAAATTGCCAACATACGCCGGATCATGGAGAAAGCTAAGGAGTTCCAGAAAAACATCTACTTCTGCTTCATTGACGATGCTAAAGCCTTTGATTGTGTGGATCACGGCAAATTGTGGCAGGTTCTTAGAGAGATGGGAGTCCCAGACCATCCTATTTGTCTCTTGAGAAACCTATATGCGGGTCAAGAAGCAACAGTGAGAACATGATATGGAATCAATGATTGGTTCAAAATTGGGAAAGGAGTTCAGCAAGGCTGTATATTGTCGCCCTACCCATATGCAGAGCACATCATGAGAAAGGTGGGGCTAGATGAATCACAAGTTGGAATGAAGATTGCGGGGAGAAATAACAACCTCAGATATGCAGATGATACCACTCTCATGGCAGAAAGTGAAGAGGAACTAAAGAGCCTCTTGATGTGAGTGAAGGAAGGGAGTGCAAAAGTTGGCTTGAAACTCAACTTTAAGAAAATGAAGCTCATGGCATCTGGTCCTCTCATTTCCTGGCAAATAGATGGGGAAGAAATGGAGGTAGTGACAGATTTTATTTTCCTGGGCTCCAGGATCACCGCAGACAGGGACGGCAGCCAAGAAATTAAAAGACGCTTGCTCCTGGGGAGGAAAGCTATGGCAAATCTAGACAGCATACTAAAAAGCAGAGACATCGCCCTGCCAACAAAAGTGTGTATAGTCAAGGCTATGGTTTTCCCAGTTGCAATGCATGGCTGTGAAAGCTGGACCATAAGGAAGGCAGAGCGCCGAAGAATTGAGGCCTTTGAATTGTGCTGCTGGAGGAAACTCCTGTGAGTCCCTTGGCCTGCAAGGCGATCAAACTGGTCAGTCCTAGAGGAGATCAACCCTGACTGCTCTTTAGAAGGCCATATCCTGAAGATGAAACTCAAATACTTTGGCCACCTAATGAGAAGGAAGGACTCCCTGGAGAAAAGCCTGATGCTGGGAACAATTGAAGGCAAAAGAAGGGGACGGCAGAGGATGAGATGGCTAGATGGAGTCACTGAAGCAGTTGGTGTGAGCTTGGGTAGACTCTGGGGGATGGTGGAGGACAGGAAGGCCTGGAGGAATGTTGTCCTTGGGGTCGCGATGGGTCGGACGTGACTTGGCAACTAATACCTACAAGAACAAGCCGTCTAGAGGAGTTTTTTATTGGACAGGTTAGAAATATCCTGATAAATACAAATTAAATAAAACAAGTCGCTTTTCATCTTGTTATGGTTTTATCTTGTTATTGTATTATTGGCTATTTATTCCTCTCTAAGCCGTCCGGAGACGTTTTGTATTGGACAGGTGAGAAATATCCTGATAAATGGATAGTAAATAAATAAATTCTACACGAGGTTTTCCAGCGACCTCCTCTTCTAGTCCTCATGGTTCAGATCAGGGACTGATTTGAAATCGGAAAAGAGGAAGCGCCCCAACTCCACTGCTGCCAGCTCGACCCGGAGCTTTCTTTGGAAGCTCAGGTGACAGCGGTGGCGAGGAGCGCCTTCCTTCAGCTTCGGCTGATTAATCAGCTGCGCCCCTACCTGGAGTACGACTGCCTGGCGACGGTGACACACACGCTGGTGACTTCCCGCCTAGACTTCTGTAACGCGCTTTACGTGGGGCTTCCCCTGAAGACAGTCCAAACACTTCAATTGGTGCAAAATAGAGCTGCCAGGTTGCTGACGGGGACGGGGCGTTATGCTCACATGACTCGTCCTCCGTCAGCTTCACTGGCTGCCCATTGAAGCCCGGGCCCAATTCAAGGTGTTGATTATGACCTATAAAGCCCTAAACGGCTTGGGTCCTGGCTACCTGAACGAGCGCTTACGCCCGTATATGCCCGACCGCCCTTTGAGATCTGCGGGAGAGTCCCTTCTCCGGGAACCCTCCACGAAAGAAATTAGGAGAGTAAGTACCCGGAGGAGGGCTTTCTCTGCGGTGGCGCCCAACCTATGGAATTCACTCCCCAAAGAGGTCCGCCTGGCACCGTCGTTACTGGTTTTTCGGCGCCAGGTCAAGACCTTTTTATTTAAACATCATTTCAATGGTTAAAACATATGATCTGGCCTGGGCAACTTCTTCTTCCTTCTCTTTCTCCTATATTTTTATTTTATACTGATCATTTTAATTTTGTATTTGTAAATCAATGTATGTTTGTATTTTTATATTGAATGGTAATTTATTATGTACTATTGTATTTCAATGTATTTTATCATGTTGTAAGCCGCCCCGAGGTTTCGGCAAGGGGCGGCATAGAAATGTTATAATAATAATAATAATAATAATGATGATGATGATGATGATGCCCAAGCTGGGCTTGGGGATGATGCCCCACGGATTCGGCCCGGGGGCCAAGTAGAGGCGGCCTCTGCGAGAAAGCTAGGGGCCTGTCCACATGGATGGGAGGAAGGAAGCGTGGGGTGGGGGGGGGAGGTGGCCCTGCGGCCCAGGCCCGGGGAGGGGGCACCCTGGATCTCCTCCTGGGGGGCCAACGCGCGCTGCTCGGGGCAGGCGCCACTCACCGCCATCTTGCTCTGCGCAGGTCTCCCGCGCAGCGTCACTTCCCCTCGCACCGCCGCGGCTCCTGCCACCGGATCCGCCTGCCGGGCTCGCCCCTTCCGCCGATCGGGCGCGAGGGGGTCGGCCGGGGGGGGGCGGGCGGAGCAGCCCCTGCCCCTAATTAGCGTCCATGCAGCAGCGGAATGAGGACCGCACGGTCCGGTTTTGAAGGGCCTTCATTTCCCGGGCCTGGAGGCGCTGCTTCTGCTGCGCGAGCGCGCGGAAACGCCGCGGCCCCGTCGCGGCCCGCGCGGGCGGCGCGCGACCGGAAGTGCTGCCGTGCCGCGTTGCCGGGTAACCAGGCGCCGGCCTCGCCCGGCCGGAAGCGCCCCCCCCGCGTCGTCTCTGGCGCCGGAGAGGACAATAGGCGCGATGGCGGCGGCGGCTGCGGGGCGGCGGGGCCCGCCCGGGCCGCTGCTGCTGCTGCTGCTGCTGCTGCTGGCCGCCCAGGTAAGGCTTCCTCCCGGGAGGAAGCTGCCGCGCGGACGGGGTGGGTCGTGGGCCCCTTCGCCTTGCAGCCCGCGCTCGCGTCGCCCTTTTCCCCACCTCAGTAGTCCCTCCGCGAAATGGGCCCAAGCGCCTCTCCTTCCCCATCCCCCGGGGGATGCCCGGCACTCACTGGGTCGGTGTTGGTCGCCCAGCCGTGCCCGAGCCATCGCGACCCCGTCGACTCCAGGCTCTCCTGTCCTCCAGCTGGAATCCACCAGACCCCACACCCACCGCCCCAGGGACCCCATCCAGCCACCACCTCCTCCTCCGCCGTCCCTCCTCCTCTTGCCCTCGATCGTTCCCAGCATCTCCGGCGGGTTGCTCCTTCACATCAGGTGGCCGAAGTATCTGAGCTTCATCTTTAGGATCTGGCCTTCTAGAGAGTCAGGGGTGATCTCCCTTAAGTTGGTTTGATCTCTTTGCACTGAGTTGATCCTGCGGTAAATCGCACAGCTGGCCTCCCAGTGAACCGCTTAGTTATGTATGGAGCACGCCTACCTGTTTAAGCAGGGGAAGAAAGTCCCAGCATACTCACGTCAGGGAACTGTAGGGCTTTTTTCCTCCACTAAACATGCATAGGATTGAGTTAAAAATGCAGGAGTTTTTGTTGAGCTTTATATTTGCACCCAATAGCACTTAGAAGCAAAATTAAAATGTCCTTCCTCCCCTCCATGTTGTACGGTGGACAGGGGTTTCCTAAGATGTCCTAAATTCTAAATTTTTTTATTCTAAATAAATGGTTACCTGAAGGAGCGCTTGCATCCATATATGCCCAGCCGCCCCTTGAGATCGGCGGGGGAGGCCCTTCTCCGGGAACCCTCCATGAAAGAAATTAGGAGGGTGGGTACTCGGAGGAGGGCCTTCTCCGCGGTGGCGCCTAAGTTATGGAACGCGCTCCCCAGAGAGGTCCGCCTGGCGCCGTCGTTATTTGCTTTTCGGCGCCAGGCGAAGACCTTTTTATTCAAGCGGCATTTTAACTGTTAACATTATTGGTTTTATCTGGCCAGGGCGGCTTATTTTATACTGTACTGTTGTATTTTAATTTTATATTTATATTTTAATTTATATTATAATTATTTTAATTTATTGATGTGAGCCGCCCCGAGGCTTCGGCGAATGGGGCGGCATAAAAATGTTTTAATTAATAAATAAATAAAATAAATAAATCCCTGTGAAAATCTGCTTTCTGGGAAATTGGATCATAACGCTGGGAGCAGCATGGTTTTGTTTCCTGGCCAGGAAGGGTGGGAGTTGTATGACCGTTTATGGCTAATCAAGCGTAGGATGGTACCCTGAAGATCGTTTTGTAGGGCAGGGTATTTTGTCAGCACTCATCCAGTACTGGGACCAATATTAATCCAAAGCAAGAGATATTCTAGCTGTAAAGTAATTTGATTCCAATATAGAGGGTTTAATACCCTCCCCAGAGTAGTTTGCCTGGTGCCAACGTTTGTTATCTTTATTTATTTATTATCTATGTAAAATATTTCTACCCTGCTCTACATGAAAATTTTCCCAGGATGGCTTACAATAATTAGAACAATAAAGAAACAGAGCAATAAGTAAATGACATACATTTGTTGAAATTGGCCCGCCTACCGTTGAATGTTAGGGAAGGGGGAGTTTTTTTTTCTTTAACTGCTTTTATAATTTTATTCTGTTTTAATCTGTTTTATGGAGTCGTCCCTGGCCATGTCCACATTTTTGTTTCCTGGGGAGCGCGCGGGCGCTGCCATTGGCATGGTCATGGGCAATGGACGTAACAGTGGTGGGGGCTTAAGGTGTCCGCGTAGAAGAAGGAGGGACAGATGGCTGATACCTGTCCCTCTTTCTGGTTCTGCCCCCAGCCAGAGGGTGCCAGGGAGTCTCGTCAACCGCCCCTCAGGCCTGACGGTGCTGCTGCTCAATGCCAGGTCAGTCAATTATAAATCTTCCCTCATCCATGACTTGATTGCGGAGGAGGGGGCCGACCTGGCTTGCATAACGGAGACCTGGGCGGGGGGGGGGATGTTGCCCTCTTTCAACTGTGCCCGCCCAGGTATCTGGTTCAGCACTGTTCAAGCCCAGAGGGGAGGGGAGGGGGGGTCGCTTTGGTTTACCGAGCCTCCATCTCCCTCACAGGACTTCCGGTCCCTTCGAGGCCAGGGCTGGAGTGCCTCTACTTGGTGTTGGGCGACCGAGACAGATTGGGGATTCTGTTGGTGTACCATGCACCCTTCTGCCCAACAGTCTCCCTGTCTGAGCTGACAGAGACCGTCTCGGACCTGGTGTTGAGGACCGCCAGGATGTTGGTCCTGGGGGACTTCAATCTCCATGCCGAGGCTGGTCTGTCCGGGGCGGCTCAGGACTTCATGGCCTCCATGACGGCCATGGGGCTGTCTCAACATGTCTCCGGCCCAACCCATGAACGTGGACACACTCTGGACCTGGTTTTCTCGACGGGGCAGAAAGAGGGTGACCTGAGGGTGAGGAATTTATGTTTGACTCCCCTGTCATGGTCAGATCACTTCCTGGTGAGGTTTGTGCTCGAGAGCGACCTCTCCCTCTGTAAGGGTGCGGACCCGATTGTGTGGGTCCGCCCCCGGAGCCGGATGGATCTGGATGGATTCCTGAAAGCCCTGGGGGAGTTTCTGGCTGACAAGACTGGTGCTCATGTCGAAACTCTGGTTGAACTGTGGAACGGGGAGATGACCAGGGCTGTGGACACGATCGCTCCTAAGCGTCCTCTCCCACCGGGCAGAGCCCGCTCTTCCCCTTGGTATACACCTGAATTGCGGACGATGAAGCAGGTTGGGAGGTGGCTAGAGCATAGGTGGAGGAAATCACGGGATGAATCTGACTGAGCACACTTGAGAGCCCACTATCGAGCCTATGCTGTGGCAGTGAAGGCGGCGAAAAAGAAGTTTTTTTCCGCTTCCATTGCCTCCTCACAATGCTGTCCGGCGGAGCTTTTTCGAGTGGTGCAAGGCCTGGTTCACCCGGGTCCTAAGGAAGATCCGGTTCCACCCTCAAAGGCCCGCTATGACGACTTTGCCAGGCATTTCAGGGAGAAAATCGCTCAGATTCGTCACGAGCTGGACACCACTAATGAATCAGAGGTTTTTGGGGAGATGCCAATGCTGCCGTCTGGTCCAGAATTATTGGATGAATTTCAGTTATTGTGGCCCGATGATGTGGACAAGGTGCTTGGACGAGTACGTCCCACCACTTGCCTATTGGACCCTTGCCCGTCTTGGTTAATAAATAATTCCAAGCACGGGATTGGGACCTGGATCTTGGAAGTGGTTAACGCTTCTCTGATGGAGGATCGGGTGCCTGCCCCTTTAAAGGAGGCGGTAGTCCGACCGGTCCTAAAGAAAGTGTCACTGGATCCAGAGATGGCCACTAACTATAGACCTGTGGCCAACATCTCGTTTCTGGGCAAGGTGCTAGAGCGGGTGGTGGCGGGACAACTCCAAGCACTCTTGGATGAAACTGATTATCTGGACCCGTTTTCAGTCCGGCTTCAGACCCGGGTACGGTACTGAATCTGCCTTGGTCGCCCTGTACGATGACCTGTGCAGGGAGAAGGACAGGGGGAGTGCGTCCCTGTTGGTTCTTCTGGACCTCTCAGCGGCTTTCGATACCATAGACCATGGTATCCTTCTGGATAGGCTAGCGGGATTGGGGGTCAGAGGCACTGCTTTGCAGTGGTTCCGCTCCTATCTCAACGGCCAATTCCAGAAGGTGGTGCTGGGGGACTATGGCTCTGCACCATGGCAGCTATGCCATGGAGTACCACAGGGCTCCATTTTGTCCCCCTTGCTATTCAACATCTACATGAAACCGCTGGGAGAGGTCATCAGGAGGTGTGGGCTGCGGAATCATCAGTACGCTGATGATACCCAGCTCTACCTCTCGTTTTCCACTAATCCAGGTGAGGCAGTGGCTGTGCTGAACTGGTGCTTGGCCGAAGTAATGGGCTGGATGAGAGCCAATAAACTGAAGCTCAATCCAGACAAGACGGAGGTCCTGTTGGTTGGCGGATCGGGCTTTGGAGTGGGTGGGTTTGACCTGGTCCTGAATGGGGTTGCACTCCCTCTTAGGACAAGGTCTGCAGCTTAGGAGTACGCCTCGACCTGGAGCTTTCATTGGAAGCTCAGGTGACAGCGGTGGCGAGGAGCGCTTTCCTTCAGCTTCGGCTGATTAATCAGCTGCGCCCCTACCTGGAGTACGACTGCCTGGCGATGGTGACAGACGCGCTGGTGACTTCCTGCCTTGACTTCTGTAATGCGCTTTACGTGGGGCTTCCCCTGAAGACGGTCCGAACACTTCAATTGGTGCAAAATAGAGCTGCCAGGTTGCTGACGGGAACGGGGCGTTATGCTCACATGACTCCAGTCCTCCGTCAGCTTCACTGGCTTCCCATTGAAGCCCGGGCCCAATTCAAGATGTTGGTTATGACCTATAAAGCCCTAAACGGCTTGGGTCCTGGTTACCTGAACGAGCGCTTATGTCCATATACACCCGCCCGCCCGCCCGCCCCTTGAGATCTGCGGGAGAGGCCCTTCTCCGGGAGCCCTCCGTGAAAGAAATTAGGAGGGTAGGTACTCGGAGGAGGGCTTTCTCTGCGGTGGCGCCCAATCTATGGAATGCGCTCCCCAGAGAGGTCCGCCTGGTGCTGTCGTTATTTGTTTTTTGGTGCCAGGTGAAGACCTTTTTATTTAAACATCATTTTAATTGTTAACAATACTTGCTTGTTTATCTGGCCAGGGTGACTTATTTTATATCTTTTATATTTTTATTTATATTGTTAATTTTAATTTTATATTGTTATTTTTGTATTTTATTGTATTTTATTGTGTTGTAAGCCGCCCCGAGGCTTCGGCAAGGGGCGGTATAGAAATGTTCTAATAAATAAATAATACCAACAAAAAACAAAACAAAATGCTACTGTAAATATTAAAACCAGTTAAAATTCCTTATTCCTTAAAATAATGGGTAAATAAAAAGGTTTTGACCTGGCACCGAAAGGAATATAAAGTTGGCGCCAGGCAAACCTCTCTGGGTAGCACATTCCACAGTCAGGGCACCACCGCAGGGAAGACCCTGCTCTGGGTGGGCACCCTCTTTACCTCCTTCAGGGAGTGTTCCCAGAGCAGAGCCTCTGCTGTAGATCTTAAGTGGGGGAGGGCATATAGGGAAGGAGGCGTTTCTTCAGGTATCCAGGACCCAAGCCGGTTAGGGCTTTATAGGTTAATACCAGCACCTTAAATTGGGCCTGGACTTCATTCAGGAGCCAGTGTAGCTGATAGAGGACTGGCGTTATCTGAGAATGACACCCAGTCCCCATCAGCAATTTGGTGGCTTTCTTTTGAACCAGTTGAAGTAATAGGACTTATATGCTTTTCGGTGCCAGATTAAAACCTTTTTATTCTCCCAAGATTTTAAAGTGTAAAATGTTAATTCAGATATGATTTATTTCCAATCTCATTTTCTTTTGCTATTGTATTGATTGGATCTTTATCACTCTGTAAGCCATCCAGAGACATGTCCTGTTGGACAAGATAGAAATATCCTAATAAAATATAATACTCTTCCTGGTTAGGAGAAAAAAAGTCTCACAACTCCAGCAGAGCATTGCTGGCATTTGGAGGACTCTTCTCTTGCCCAAACAGACGGAGGCTGGCACAGTTAGAAACATAGAAACAGAGCAAGGCAGAAGTTGTCTCCCGGGTCATCTAGTCTGACCCCTGGCTCTAGCCGGTTCTGCTCATGACATGCCTACCATGTGCATGTTTAGCCTATTCTTGAACAAAGTAACATGAGTACTCTCTGCTTTTCAGCTGAAAAAGCCCCCTGAGCAACTGATATTCAGACAGCCCTCCTGTGGTTCCTGCTTTTGCATGCTTGCAATCTGAAAGATCCTCTGGGTGTTCATGGCTCTCTGATAGAGGAGAGGGTGCTTCTGCCATGTTTCCAACCAGGGAAAGCAACTGAGAATCAATCCTCTTAGCTTTCAAGGCTGTTGCAGGACAAAAGATATTCCCATATCATGCCGGTCCTATATTGTTTACACTGGCTACCAGTTGAAGTTGGGACCAAATTTAAGGTGTTGGTAATCACCTGTAAGGTCCTAAATTGCTTGGGTCCAGGATACCTGAAGGAGCACCTTTTATCCTATATGCCTGCCCACCCCTTGAGATTAGAGGCAGAGGCCCTCCAGTGGGAAATCCTCTTTGAAGGAAATCAGGAGGGCAGTTACTCGGACCAGGGCCTTTTCAGTGATGGTGCCCCATCTATGGAATTCACTTCCCAGGGAGGTTCCCCTGGTGCCATCGCTCTCTTCCTTTCAGCGCCAGGCAAAGACCTTTTTCCTTTCCCAGTATTTTAATAATTAACTGGTTTTGACCTTGTTTTTATTACTATTTTAGATGCGGTGTACTTTTTTCTTTCTTTTAGATGTGTGTTGTTGTGATGCGTTCTGTTTTTTGGTTTGTTCTCTGTAAGCTGCCCAGATAGTTTTTTAGCAATTGGGATGGCATACAGAAACCTTCAATAAATCAATCAATAAAAGAGAATAATGCATAGGAGTGCAGCCCTGTTTTGTATGCTCTTAATGTAGGAGGAGGCAACCTGGTGACATCCAGGTGTTTTGGACCATGAATCCCATAATCCTTGATAATTGTCTATGCTGCTGGGGCTTCTGGGAAGTGTATTGCAAAACATAGGGTGATTGCTAGATTGTCTTTGCCTGCTTTAAGGTCTTTCTCTTTGGTCCATTATTTGTTTATTTATAAAAGCGTTTCCATTCCATCCCCTACAGAACATCTCACAATAAATAAATAGAACAGAACAACCGCCCCCCCCCCGCATCGGACTAGTAATACTAAAATCCCAATTAAAATCAATTAATTGCCTATTTAACTTATATGCAGAGCACATCATGGGAAAGCAGGGTGGAGGGAACTAGATGAATCACAAGCTGGAATTAAGACTGCCGGGAGAAATATCAACAACCTCTATGATACCACTCTAATGACAGAAAGTGAAGAGGAACTAAAGAGCCTCTTGATGTGAGTGAAGGAAGGGAGGGCAAAAGTTGGCTTGAAACTCAGCTTTAAGAAAATGAAGATCATGGCATCTGGTCCTCTCACTTCCTGGCAAATAGATGGGGAAGAAATGGAGGTAGTGACAGATTTTATTTTCCTGGGTTCCAAGACCACCCCAGAGAGGGACTGCAGCCAAGAAATTAAAAGATGCTTGCTCCTGGGGAGGAAAGCTATGGCAAGTCTAGAAAACATACTAAAAAGCAGAGACATCAACCTGCCAACAAAAGTGCGTATAGTCAAGACTATTGTTTTCCCAGTTGCAACGTATGGCTGTGAAAGTTGGACCATGAGGAAGGCTGAGCGCCAAAGAATTGAGGCCTTTGAATTGTGGTGCTGGCGGAGACTCCTGTGAGTCCCTTGGACCGCAAGGTGATCAAACCAGTCAGTCCTAGAGGAAATCAACCCTGACTGCTCTTTAGAAGGCCAGATCCTGAAGATGAAACTCAAATACTTTGGCCGCCTAATGAGAAAGAAGGACTCACTGGAGAAGAGCCTGATGCTGGGAACAATTGAGGGCAAAGGAAGAAGGGGATGGCAGAGGATGAGGTGCCTGGATGGAGTCAGTGAAGCAGTCGGCGTGAGCTTGGCTGGACTCCGGGGGATAGTGGAGGACAGGAAGGCCTGGAGGAATGTTGTCCATGGGGTTGCGATAGGTCGGACACGACTTTGTGACTAGCATAGCACAGAATAATGGAAAAATAAAAGCGGGGTTTCTTGATGCCTGTAAAAATGTAATGTTGGTGCCAGGTGAACCTCTCTGGGGAGCATATTCTATGGTCGGGGTGCCACCACAGAGAAGGCCCTGCTCCAGGGACTCTCCCTCCTAATTGTCTTTCAGGAGGGCTCCCAGAACAGGGCCTCTGCCTCAGATCTGATGGGAGGGCACACAGGGGACAAGGTGCTGAGTCCCCCCCTCCTTTGTCCTCCTGCCCTCTGGAGCTGCCAGGGTGCTGTCTCAAAGTAACAGTCCACCATCGTATGAAGCGCAGGATGCTAGTCCTCCTTGATCCCGGCAACAGCACATCCGTTCTTCTCTGTTTTGCAGGTGTCTGGTGAGTTTGGCATGGTCCGTGTCTTCTCGGAGAGAGGGAGCAGCAAAGGAAAAGACTATTGTATCCTCTTCAATTCCCAGTGGGCCCACCTACCTCACGACCTGGGCAAGGCGGTGAGTCGATTCAAGCTGGCCTGAAGGGGCCTCTTTGGACCCCTCCTGGGCCTCAGGCAGACTCTCCAGCTGCTGAGGGTGCAGTGCCAAACTGAGAACTTGCTTCTAACCTCCTTGCTCCTTTTCTCCTCCAGGCCCCCCTTCTGCTGCAGGACCAGACGGTGTCTGTCTTGTGTGCGCCGTCTGACGTGCCCAATGGGGGCTTCTTCAACACAATCCCCATGGTGATGCGGGGGAATTGCACCTTCTACGAAAAAGTGCGCCTAGCTCAGATCAACGGTGCCCGAGGTCTCCTGATTGTCAGCCGAGAGAGGCTGGTGAGTTTCTGTCCTACCCTGTTTCCCCAGAAATAAGCCCAGTTAAGATTGTCAACCAGATGGACACATTTAGGATGGATGGATTGAATTATAAAAGAATAATATTAATATAGAATTAGAAAGACTGTCAGCCAGACGGATGCATGTAGGACATCCGTTGCAACGCATGACAGATGGATTGAATTATAAAAGAATGATATTAATATAGAATTAAATGTAAATAAATAATATTGTTGATATTAAAACTTTAAATGATAATAGAAATTATAATTAAGTATTTGCAAATCCCCAAGCGGGGATTTGGACGAGAGGCACAGACCTGTGTAAACAGATGAACGTGAGACTCATTGTTGAATGACAGATCTGAGGACAGACACACGGATAACGTGCGCACTTCATAATGAATGGGCGTGTTTCATAATTCGATACGTTGTGTGTTGTGATGGATGTGCCTCATGCACTCACATGTTGCCAATTCTGCCTCACAAGTCTTCAATTAACACTTGATTTAACGGTAGCTTTAAAAGGAATCCTGGTTTGAACACCCCCCCCCCCGCCATCCCCATGAGATGGGTGCAAAAGAAAGAGCGATTCCATTGATGACAAGAAGGGGATTGTGGAGTCCTCTCGAGGCAAAAATCTCACAGCTCTCAGAAGGAAGAATAAGACATCTGAAAATAAGCCCTGATGCGTCCTTTAGAGCAAAAATTAACCTAAGACCCGGTCTCATTTTCTGGGAAACACGGTAGTCTAACTGTAGCTCTCGAAGAGGCGCAGCTGCTTTTGAGGAATGGCACTGCCGCTGTCCGCTTTTCCCTCCCTGTTTTTTCTCCCACCATAGTGCCCCCTTCCCAGTAGGGTAAGGAGGAGATGGAACCTTGCAGGGCCTCAGGCCCCCATTCTGGACTGCAGGCCGCCATTGCAGGTGTCAGAGCATCTCCACCTCCGAGGTGCCGTGATGGAGGTGTCTCAGCTCATGCCGAGGGTGGACAATCACCCTAGAGGTGGGAAGAACCCCATCTAGCCCCTTCCTGCTGCTCATTCCATCCCAGTGACATGGCAAGTCTGTAGAGAAAGTGCTCTGCCTCTCTCCTGGGTCTTGGAGTTGGAAGGGGCTTCTATTTTCCACTGCATTTCTGTCTTGGGCACAGAGCACTTGCTTGTCAGGGTCTGTTTCCAGCACTTGATTTAGCCCTTCCTAGCGCTAATACGTTTGATTTTCTTTGTGACCTCCCTCAATATTAATACTCCTTCCTGAGCCTTTTCTTAACTATCATGGTTCTTTGAAAATGAGAAATCATCTGCCATTTGCACAGCTGCTTGAGGCCTATGCAGCATATGTGTTTAATTTATTGTACTATTCCATGTTTCCATGATCCAGGGGTTGGACCTGATGGCCTTCACGGCCCCTTCCAACTCTGTTATTCTATGATCCTATGAAAACATTGGGAAGATTAAAAGGATTTGACCTGGCGCTAAAAAGAATGAAGTGAACCTCTCTGGAGAGTGAATTCCACAGTTGGGGTACCACTGCAAAGAAGACCCTGCTCTGGGGAGTCACCCTCCTCATCTCCTTCAGGGGGAGTCTTGACTTTCCTTCTGAAAGTGTCCCAGGCCCGTCAATTCTGAAGAAGCGGCTCAGCGCCTCTTGTGTTACCACCGTCCCCTCGTCACTTTTCTCATTCTATCCTCCTTCCTTCTTTATTCTATTCTATTCTGTTTTAGATATTTGTATGCCGTCCTTTGCGAGAACCTCAGGACGGCTTACACAAATAAAATTCCAAAATACATAAAATAATGTAAATAAATTGACATCCCACTCTGGCTGCAAATAAAATACGGTAATAAAATTCAATATAAAATTTATTAAAATATTGATTAAATAAAAAGGTCTTGACCTGGCGCTGAAAAGCATATAATGATGGCACCAGGCGGACCTCTCTGGGGAGCGCATTCCATAGACGGGGCGCCACTGCAGAGAAGGCCCTCCTCCGGGTGCTCACCCTCCTACTCCCGGAGGGCTCCCGGAGGAGGGCTTCTGCTGCCAATCTCAGAGGGCGGGAGGGCAAATCGGGCAAATACTATACAGAAGACTGCCCCCAAAAGCAAATGCCAACATAAGAGGAACTTTCCTCAGGACTACAACAAGGTTAAAATGCCTCTGCGGCTGCTCTGATCCAATTAATTACCTGCCACTCCCCAGAATCTGATACAATTCCCATTTTAAAAAATCCAGCCCATTAGCTACAAGGGCAGGTCCCATCTCCTAGGGAGCTGGTGCTGCAAACAGAGAAGCACGGTGTAAAACAGTCTTTCCCGGCCAGTTCTGCTGTGACTCCCAGCATTCCTGACCACTGGCCATACTGGCTAGGGCTACCTGGAGGCGAATCCTAAAACATCTGGAGGACAAAGAGCGGAAGACCCCTACAGCAAAGACTCCTCTAGTCTGGCAAAAACTAGCCCAACTAGAAGCAGGTCTAGCCACTGAATCTCAAGCATGCTTACTCAGAAGTAAATTCCAGTGAATTCAGTAGTGTTTACTCCCAAGAAAGTAGCCCTGCTGCTATTCAGTTTTCAGCAAACAGTAAGAATGGTTGTGTTTTCAGAAAAACCTGGCAAGAATCTGCAAACACTGAGCATACCAAAATTCAAAATAAGTAATGAATTTTTTAAAAACCACTTTCGGTAAACCTTTGACCACACAGATAGAAAACATGTTCCCCTGCCCCCCAGATATGGTAGGAGCACGATTCCCATCAGTCCACACAGCATAGCTACCCGTGATGGATGATGGCACTTGTACCCTCTCACCGGCCACAAATTCCCTGACCATGTTTTTCAGAGACAACATCAAAAAATGCATGTAAGCATGATTTGCAAATGATCTGTAGAGCAGTGGGGGGCTTTCTTCTGTGGGTAACCGCTCCTGGACCACATGGCAGTGGGTGGGGAAGGGAAACTTACACCCTTCCTCAAAATTGCCTCCCCCACTGTTGTGGGGGGAACTCCCATGGGCTCCAATGAGAGGCTTTCTTTCATCTGACTGCTGTGCGGGAAGGGACAGGATAGGGCCTCCAGAAAGTCCCAGAGCCCAAATGGGCCATATCCGGCTGGATCGCAGTCACATCCCCACCACGACCCACATTTAATAAGCCTTTGGAACCACCTCCGCCAAGGGTACCTCTTAAGTCCTAGGCAGGCATCCACAAGAAACAACCTTGGAGGACATTCTGAGAAGCAGACCCACGTTTCTGAAATACGACTCTCTGTGGTTCGCATTTGAAGGACTGAAAGGCAGAGTCCGTTTGGAAAGAATATGTATTTTCAGGTTTTCCACAAACTGTCAGAGTCGGCCCCTGGGAGCGAGGCAACTCTGGCGGGCTAAGGCCCCCGCAGGACTGGGAGGTCTCGCAGCAAGGACTGCTAGTCCCAACTGCAAAGCAGGAGGTTACTGCCAGGAAATTGGTCTGGAGAGTAGACTGGGAACTACGATCCAGACCAGAGACAGAGAGAAGCCCAAGTCAAAAGTTCAGTTTAGTGCAAGCCTGCAGAGGGAAAGATGGGCTGAAGGGCTGAGGGAGAAGGCAGAGTTGAGCTGCAGGCAGCAGGCAAAGCAGGAAGGGGAACAAAAACGCAGGCCTGAATCAGGAAAACAGTCTCAGGCAAGTCAGAAAATAACTTGGGAAGTGTTAAGGCCATGCAGGGCCCATGAGAGAGCTCAGGGCATCTCCACAGAGCCACCCTGCGAGGGAGCTTGAGCTACCAGCTAAGATGGGGGCAGGAAAGCACGAGACCCCGGCTCACACAGACCTGGTAACCCACCTACAAGGAGAAGTTTGCATGCTCCAAGGCAAAGAAGAACCAGCCTGGAAGACTGTCTGTTCTAACCTACTTCTTGCATATGCCTAAGTCCGCTTCAGTGGGGGGTGTGAGCAGGCCGGCTGGGGCCCAAGCTGATGTCATTGCCCCGTCTTCTGCCATCAGTGCATACACTAGATTTTGAATTGCGTGGCTTTGTAACAGCATCTATGTGATGCCTGTGAAGTCCTTAAATCCTAAACCCTCTTTGAAGGAGGTTAGGAGAGTGAACCATTGGAAGAGGGTCTTCTCTATGGTGGTGTCCCGGCTTTGGAATGCGCTCCCCAGAGAGGTGTGCCTGGTGCTGACATTATATGCTTTCCTGCACCAGGTCAAGACCTTTTTGTTGTTGTTGCTGGTCGCAAAGTTGTGTCCAACTCATCGCAACCCCGTAGACAACGTTCCTCCAGGCCTTCCTGTCCTCCACCATTCCCTGGACTCCACCTAAGCTCACCCTGACTGCTTCACTGACTCCATCCAGCCACCTCATCCTCTGCCGTCCCCTTCTTCCTTTGCCCTCAATTGTTCCCAGCATGAGGCTCTTCTCCAGGGAGTCCTTCCTTCTCACTAGGTGGCCAAAGTATTTGAGTTTCATCTTCAAGATCTGGCCTTCTAAAGAGCACTCAGGGTTGATCTCCTCTAGGACTGACCAGTTTGATCGCCTTGCGGTCCAAGGGACTCATAGGAGTCTCCGCCAGCACCACAATTCAGTGGCCTCAATCATTTGGCGCTCAGGGTTCCTTATGGTCCAACTTTCACAGCCATACATTGCAACGGGGAAAACCATAGCCTTGACTGTGCGCACTTTTGTTGGCAGGTTGATGTCTCTGCTTTTTAGTATGCTGTCTAGATTTGCCATAGCTTTCCTCCCCAGGAGCAAGCGTCTTTTAATTTCTTGGCTGCAGTCCCCGTCTGCGGTAATCTTGGAGCCCAGGAAAATAAAATCTGTCACTACCTCCATTTCTTCCCCATCTATTTGCCAGGAAGTGAGAGGACTGGATGCCATGATCTTCATTTTCTTAAAGTTGAGTTTCAAGCCAACTTTTGTGCTCTCTTCCTTCACCTACATCAAGAGGCTCTTTAGTTCCTCTTCACTTTCTGCCGTGAGAGTGGTATCATCTGCATATCTGAGGTTGTTGTTATTTCTACTGGCAATCTTAGTTCCAACTGGTGATTCATCTAGCCCTGCCTTTCTCATGATGTGCTCTGGATATAAGTTAAATAGGCAGGGCGACAGTATACAGCCTTGCCGAACTCCTTTCTCAGTTTTGAACCAATCAGTGGTTCTGTGGCCAGTTCTCACTGTTTCTTGTTGACCCTCTTATAGGTTTCTCAAGAGACCAATAAGATGGTCTGGTACTCCCATCTCTTTAAGAACCTGCCACAATTTGCTGTGATCCACACAATCAAAGGCTTTAGCATAGTCAATGAAGCAGAAGTAGATGTTTTTCTGGAACTCCCTAGCTTTCTCCATGATCCAGCGTATGTTGGCAATTTGATCTCTAGTTCCTCTGCCTCTTCGAAACCCGGCCTGTGCTTCTGGTAGTTCTCGGCCCACATACTGCTGGAGCCTAGCTTGTAGGATTTGGAGCATCACTTTGCTAGCATGTGAAATGAGTGCAATGGTGAGGTAGTTCAAACAGTCTTTGGCATTGCCCTTTTTTGGAACTGGAATGTAAACTGGCCCTTTCCCATCCTGTGGCCACTGTTGAGTTTTCCAAATTTGCTGGCATATTGAGTGCAGCACTGTTACTGCATCGTCTTTTAGGATTTTGAAAAGCTCAGCTGGAATAGTGTCTCCTCCACTCGCTTTGTTGCTGCTCAGACTTCCTAAGGCCCATTTGACTTCACATTCCAGGATGTCTGGCTCAAGGTCAGTGACCACCCCATCATGGTTATCAGGGACATTAAGCTCTTTCTTGTCTAGCTCCTCTGTGTAATCTTGCCACCTCTTCTTGATCTCTTCTGCCTCTGTTAGGTCCCTGCCATTTTGGTCCTTTATCTTGCCCATCTTTGCATGAAACGTTCCCTTCATATCTCCAATTTTCTTGAAGATATCTCTGGTCCTCCCTGTTTTATTGTTTTCTTATTTCTTTGCACTGTTCATTTAAGAAGGCATTCTGATCTCTTCTAGCTATTCTCTGGAATTCTGCATTCAGTTGGGTGTACCTTTCCTTTTCTCCCTTACTTTTCTCTTCCCTTTCCTCAGCTCTTTGTAAAGCTTCCTCAGACAGCCATTTCGTTTTCTTGTATTTCTTTTTCTTTGGGATGGTTTTAGTTGCTACCTCTGGTACAACGTTGCGAACCTCTGTCCATAGTTCTTCAGGCACTCTGTCTGTCAGATCTAATTCCTTAAATCCATTTGTCACCTCTACTGTATATTCATCAGGGATATGATTTAGGTCATACCTGAGTGGCCTAGTGCTTTTCCCTACTTTCTTCATTTTAAGCGAATTTTGCAACAAGAAGCTCATGATCTGAACCACAGTCGGCTCCTGGTCTAGTTTTTACTGACTGTATGGAGCTTCTCCATCTTTGGCTGCAGAGCACATAGTCAATCTGATTTCTGTGCTGACTGTCTGGTGATGTCCATGTGCAGAGTCGTCTCTTGGGTTGTTGGAAAAGTGTTTGCTATGACCACCGTATTCTCTAGATAAAATTCTACCAGCCTGCGCCCTGCTTCATTTTGTACTCCAAGGCCGTACTTGCCTGTTATTCCGGCTATCTTTTGGCTTCCTACTTTAGCATTCCAATCCCGCATGAAGATAAGGACATCATGTTTTGGAGTTAATTCTAGAAGGTGTTGTAGGCCTTCATAGAACCGGTCAACTTCAGCCTCTTCAGCACCAGTGGTTGGGGCAAAGACATGGACTACTGTGATGTTGAATGGTTTGTCTTGGATTCGAACTGAGATCATTCCGTCATTTTGGAGACTGTATCCCAGTACTGCTTTTCCTACTCTTTTATTGACTATGAAGGCTTCTCCATTTCTTCTGAGGGATCCTTGCCCGCAGTAGTATACCTGATGGTCCTCTGAATTCAATTCATCCATTCCTGTCCATTTTAGTTCGCTGATTCCATGAAGGAAACCTTTTTATTCATCCAGTATGTTAAAGTTTTAAAAAATGTGTTTTCAAATACCAGTCATGGGTTATCAGTGTTGTTAATATTATTATTGTTTGGGCTATTAATAGGATGTCTTACATTGTTGTATTTTTGAATCATTGTTGTCAGCTGTCCAGAGACACATAGTGATTGGGTGGGTTAAACATCTTCCCAGTCAATCAATCAATCAATCAATCAATCATAAATCCCCTCCATCTGTTCCCTCTTTTGTGGCCCCAGGTCCCCCCTGCTGGCAACCGTAGCCAGTACGAAGAGATCGACATTCCGGTGGCCCTGTTGAGCTACACTGACATGTTGGACATCGGCAGGGTAAGCACTCTCCCATGCAGCGCGTGGTCCTTTGGGATCGCTGGCAGGCAGCGCGTTCCCCCTCTGCCTTTCTCTCCCCCTCACCCCCTTTCGGTCTGTGTTCCTTCAGAGCTTCGGGCCCTCAGTGACGGTGGCCATGTATGCCCCCAATGAGCCAGTCCTGGACTACAACATGGTGATCATCTTCGTGATGGCCGTCGGCACGGTGGCCGTCGGCGGGTACTGGGCTGGAAGCCGAGATGTGAAGAAGTGAGTGGGAAGGGCCATTGCGGCAGGGAGGCCTCGACCCCTCAGAGTCCCCATCCTTCCTCGGGGCAAAGCCTGGCATTTCAGCTGTGGGAATCCAGCCGTTCTGCCCCGTTGCTGGTTGCTGATCTTTGCAGGGCCTCTGCATCACCCCTGGTCCCCTGCTCACGATGCTGCCGGCCCTCAGTCCTGCCCCTTGAGCGGCGAGCGGCGGCGCTGGGATTCTGACACTCGCCTCCTCAGAGCCACCCAGTCCTGGCAGCTTGGCTCCTGCTGCTTGGCTCTGTTGTACCTCTTGCTCTTCTTACCAGTGCCCTTCCCTGCTGAAACCCCTCCCTCACCCACTGCTGATCCCAGCAGCAAATATTCTGGGGGGACGTGTTCCTGGACATGGAGGCTCTGCAGGCGTCTTCATTGATTTGGTAGCATTCATCTGAGTACAGTAAAAACTTGGTTTGCGGGCATAATTTGTTTTGGAAACAAGACTCCAAAGCACTTGTATAGCAAAGCAAGTTTCTCGATTAAAATTATGGCAACTCAGATGCTTTGTTCCACAACCCTCCCCCTATTTATTTATTTATTTATTTAAAACATTTCTCTTCCATCCTCCACGACAACATCTCAAGGTGGCTTACAAAGCTTAAAATTAACAACAGTAATAAAATACAATCAATAATACAGTAGATGATAAATAATAGTAATAAAATACAGTCAGTTAAAACAATAAGAAAAATTGAATAAATCACATTCAAAAGAAAATATATATAATAAAAATGCAACTGTTACTTAAACTTCCAAAATCCCTAATTCTTAAAATGTCATTCAGATAAAATGATTCCAATACTGTCATATAATACAAAACAATACAGCAAATACAAAATATAAAGAAGAGAAAAATCAAACAAATTACCTTTGAAAACCTTCGTGGCTGGTGTGAGGGAGACGAGGCAGAGGAGGGCAATTGTGGCGGATGCCTTTCACGATCACAGAATCACTATCAGCTCAAGGGCATCTTTTTCTTTCTGGGCAACTTGAACAAGAAACCCTCCACATACCATTGAACTGGTTTTTCTGCGCCTCACATTTCTCGAAGGCTCGTGAATTCTCACATGGTCCACGAGCAGGGGCCTGTCTTTGAAATCCCCACTTGTGTTTGCACAAAACAAGAGGGTGAGATGGCAGTGAGAGAGAGAGAACCGTTGGCCCAGTTGCGATCATGCGATGTTCGGTGGCAAGTCCTCGTCTTGCAATACACGGCTCATTTATCAAGTTAAGATTCATTGGGAATGTTTGCTCGTCTTGCAGAATGCTCGCAGAACGAGTTACTCGCAATCCAAGCTTTTCCTGCATCCTTCTGTACTTACCCAGAAGTTTGTGGGGTAGCTACTGCCATTACTTAAACAAGAGGATCCCTGCTCCTGCCCGGACTCCATTCAAAAAGAGCCCCACATTAAAGGGGGAAGGAAGGACAAAGAAAGATGGGAGGGACATCGCACTTCGAGGCCGGTGGGATGACCCTCTCCCCCTCTCCTCTCCCTCGACTGGTGGCAGTCAAAGGAGCAGGAGCCATTATCTATTTTATTTATTCATGTGCATCTATCTCTCTATCTATCTATCTGTTTGCATCAATTTATTTGCAAATCAATCCTCTAATAAATTTATTTGCATTGCTGTGATGGCAATAATCGCTGACGCCTTCCTCAGCAGCTTACAATGTCCAACATACCCACAGTAAAAACACAGTAAAAACCAATTAAAACTTTTATTTATCTATTTATTTATTAGGGGTATTTCTAACCTGTCCAATTACTGTACGGCTCTGGACAGCATACAGTAAATCACCCAGTACATGCATCATAATAAATATAATAACCCAAGACTGACATAGAATAGATTAGACATCTATAAAAATTCAGAGGGGCTGTTCCTTGGCCAGCATGACTCGTAGAGCAGCTTACAGAGATGGCTGCTCGAAATTTAACGCATGACACACAGGAACAATTGGCCTGGAGAGAAGAGGATGTATGGAATTGAGTTCAAGAAAAGGCTGCTGAAAGTGATGCTAAGAATCCCCGAGCAGATGCTTGGAGAGGGTGGTCCCAACATCCTGTGAGGGGAAGAATCGGGGCGCTGCTCGGGAAAGGTCATTCAATCACAGATCAGCCCCACTTCCATGCTCCTGGCAACCCTGTTCACATGCTGTGATTGCAGCCACCCCTTCTTGGCCAGCACAATGGCCGTGTGACGGCCCTGCTGCTTGGGCCTGGCCCTCTCCAGCTGCCCCACTGTGCGGGAGGACTAGAGAAGAGAAAAGGGGCTGGGGGATTGTTTACATCCAGTGGACAAGATCCTAAGGCATCTGATTTATTTTTACTTATTTCTTTAATCCCATTTCGATGCCACCCCATAACCCAAAGTCTCTCTGGGTTGCTTACAGTCCAAGAACATAAACACATACATAAATGCAATAAAACAATTCTTGATCATAGAAAAGAGAAATCCATAAATCAAAACACCTCGGATAAAATAGACTCACACATACCAGTAAAGACAGCCAGTGAATTAACCATTGATCTACCAGGTGTCCCAGTCCAGACCACCTGGTTCTGTCCCTGCTTGCTCTTGGGGAGCTCCTGATAGTTGATCTCTGCAGGACTCCTGGAGGAACAAGGTGAGCGATCCACTTTTGCTTGGGCTGCTGACAGCCTTTTCTCTTCCAGGCGATACATGAAGCACAAGAGGGACGACGGGGCTGAGAAGCAGGATGACGAGACGGTGGACGTGACCCCTATCATGATCTGCGTTTTCGTGGTCATGTGTTGCTCCATGCTGGTTCTTCTCTACTACTTCTACGATCAACTTGGTAGGGACTGCTTGCTTGATGGGAGACACCCAGAGGGGTTGGGAAGCCTTGCTTCCTGGGGCCAGTTGAAGCTCCCCCTTACGAAACAGAAAGCCAAACATTGTGTTTCCCCAAAAATAAGACTAACCAGAAAATAAGACCTAGCATGATTTTTCAGGATGCTCAGAATAGAAGTGCTAGCCCAAAAATAAGCCCCGGTTAAGATCGTCAGCCAAACGGACGCATTTAGGACACCCATTGCAACCCACTATGGACGTGTTGAATGATAAAAGAATAATATGCATATAGAATTAAATAGAAAGATTGTCATCCAGATGGATGCATTTAGTTCCAGAGACTGCCGTGTGTTAAATGAGGAGCAGCCCCTTCTTTTGGTAGGCATGGCTCATGGTGCGCATGTCATGAGCAGAGCCAGCTGCAGCTGGGGTAGGACTAGATGGCCCGGGAGGCCCCTTCTGCCTCACTCGCTTTCTGTGTCTCACTGAGCGGAGCCGGCTGGAGCTGGGGTCAGACTA